TGAACATATTCATCCATTTTTTCAGGAACACGACCTAATTCCATTAGTTTTCATTGCAAAATAGTTCTTTTCTCATAGTTCTCGGACACCGGTCAAGGTGGGTACCTTTAGGTGAGCTTGAACAATTTCAAAAAGGATTTTTATGGTGTTTTGGTGGATTTTAGTGGGGTGAAAAAAATGAAACATGACCATTTATGTTCATCTATGTTGCAGTATGGGTGATATGTTGATAATTCAAAGGATTTTAGTGGGATGACAATTTGAAAAATGACCATGTATGTCCATTTATGCTGCAATATTGGTTATATTTTGATAATTCAAACGAAAATTAGTGGGGTGAAAAATTGAAAAATATCCATTTATGTCCATTTATGCTGTAGTATGGGTGATATGTTGATAATTCAAATGGGGAGAAAACAAATGAGCACGAAATGGGGGCATATTCTAAGTGGAGTTGCGTTCGAGTTCAACTGCATAATTGGAAAAACGGATATTCTAAGATAACGGGGTAGATTATACATATACATATACATATACATATACATATACATATACATATACATATACAATGTATTCTCATGCAAATGAAAATTATGAATCGTATACGTATCATATAATATATATATATATATGAAATTTTCTCTCTTGCAGAAAGCACCCTTGCTTGATATCAGAAGTCCGTCGTGATTTTTGTAGAAACGCTTTCCCAAAAGCCAAAGATAGCAAAGTAACAAGGACATACAAGGACTAAGCCTCAGCCAAGAGCAGATAAAGACTGACTTATTATAACTTATTATAATGATTATTACTATGCAAAGTAAAACAGGTGTTGTCCTTGTCAATCTATTCAAAAATCATTTGTCAACCTGGTGGGGGAGTTCTACTATATAATCACTCTGCAGTTTACACTAGGTCACAACTCTCAGAAGTCCAGTGGTGACCATTCCCCTGGCAGTGCCTCGAAGGGGCGGAAAAAGCTTCTGTATTCTCTTGCCTCAGCAACTGAAAAGCACATCCAACAAACTCAGAACACAGACCCCCAAAGCTTATCTGACGGGTCAGCGGAAAAAACCTTTCAGATCTTTCAGTGCACTTCTTCTTGCACCACTTCACCCGTTTTTCTGTCATATAGCCCTTGCCCTCCGCTTGCTGAAGCCAAGTTTTGCCCTGGGTTCTATCTTTGGCTTGATCCAAACATTACATAGGGCATTCCCATTGAAACACCCTCTACAAAGCTGTTCAAGACTAGATCCACAGTCCCAAAAGGGACGTATCACCTAGGGTGGAGAACGTTGCCGTGAAAAACCCTCATTGAAATTCCAGAAAGGTTAATCTATGAGAACTGCACATTAGGATATTAGGGCATAGGAAGTATGTTTCCTTTTGGAATGCAGAAGTGGCAGTGCCGTCAAGGCACCAAGCAGGCTTTCAAGGCCTTCCAAGCAGAGATCAAAAGCTCCAGATTCAACGGACCAAATGTGCCAGTCAAGTTCTCTGGAATTTGTCAAGACAAATCCAAGGTCGAAGCACAAAAGCCCCGCTCCCTGTCGCCTCGCGCTTCTCCTCGAATCCAGAATTGCTGGCTGCACAAGCCAACTTGCCTCGCAAGTCCAGGATGGCTGGCCGGCTGGGTGGCTTAAGGTGAAAGACTTTGGACATGGCCCAGCTGGCCGGTTAACAACTCACTTCCAACACCAAAAATCAACTCACTCCCAACACCGACTCACTCCCAACACCAAGAACTCACTCCCAACACCAAAAATCAACTCACTTCCAACACAAAAAGCACTTTTCGGCGTCGAGGGCGAGTCGATTTTCCATTTCCCCATTGGTACTGAGGCGTCACTTCTGGAACCCCATCATAAACAAACATTACACGGCAAATGATCAACACTGAGAAACCCTTCAAGGGGATTCAACCCTTTACGTTGGGGGGGGGGAACCATCAGGGTACCATACAGGCGGAATGATCAACACTGATAAACCCTTCAAGGGGTGGGGTGGGGTGGGGTGGGATGATAACGTTCATGTTCCTATGCACACACAGGCACAGCAACCTCATCATCTTTCTTGCTGTTGAGCAGAGACAGGCACAGCTCTTTCATGATCAGTTACCGGTGGGGTGGGGTGAGTTAATAAGGTTCATGTTCCTATGCCTGCACACGCACAGCAACCTCATCATCTTTCTTGCTGTAGAGCACTTACACGCACTGCTCTTTCATGATCAGTTGCCCGTGGGGTGGGGGGGGTGGGGGTGGGGTGGGGTGGGGTGGGGTGGGATGATAACGTTCATGTTCCTATGCACACACAGGCACAGCAACCTCATCATCTTTCTTCCCGTAGAGCAGAGACAGGCACAGCTCTTTCATGATCAGTTACCGGTGGGGTGGGGTGAGTTAATAAGGTTCATGTTCCTATGCATACAGACGCACAGCCACCTCATCATCTTTCTTGCTGTAGAGCACTTACACGCACTGCTCTTTCATGATCAGTTACCCGTGGGGTGGGGGGGGTGGGGGTGGGGTGGGGTGGGGTGGGATGATAACGTTCATGTTCCTATGCACACACAGGCACAGCAACCTCATCATCTTTCTTCCCGTAGAGCAGAGACAGGCACAGCTCTTTCATGATCAGTTACCGGTGGGGTGGGGTGAGTTAATAAGGTTCATGTTCCTATGCCTGCACACGCACAGCAACCTCATCATCTTTCTTGCTGTAGAGCACTTACACGCACTGCTCTTTCATGATCAGTTACCCGTGGGGTGGGGTGAGTTAATAAGGTTCATGTTCCTATGCTGCACACGCACAGCAACCTCATCATCTTTCTTGCTGTAGAGCACTTACACGCACTGCTCTTTCATGATCAGTTACCCGTGGGGTGGGGTGAGTTAATAAGGTTCATGTTGTCTGCTGCTGCTGCTGCTGCTGCTGCTGGTGGTGGTGGTGTTGTTGTTGTTGTTGTTGTTGCTGTTGCTGTTGCTGTTGCTGTTGCTGTTGCTGTTGCTGTTGCTGTTGCTGTTGCTGTTGCTGTTGCTGTTGTTGTTGTTGTTGTTGTTGTTCGTTTTGTTGTTGTTGTTGATGTTGATGTGGATGTGGATGTTCCTGTTGGCGTTGATGTTGATTGGAATGTTGATGATGATGTTGTGGTTGTTAATGTTTTTGTGTTGTCGATTTGGAGACTGCTGTTGATTTTGTTCTTGTTGTTGATGTTATCATGTTGTCGATGTCAGTAAAGAGGCGTCGAGCGAGTCGATTTTCGGCGCTGAAAGCGAGTTGATTTTCGGCGTCGGGAGCGAGGTGCCGACCCAGCTGGCCCAGCTGGCCCAGCTGGCAATAGCTGGCATGTGTTTTTGTCCATATCAGAGCACACGTCGGATATCCCGATATCCCCCAAAGCAGTGAGGAACAAATTGGAGGCTGATCATGGACTGATAAATTGCTCCCCCTCTCCGCAACAGCAATCACAGTATCAACTACAGTACTGTACATTGAATGGGAGGAAGGGCACCACAGTTTGGCCAGACATCTGGAAAATTCAGCCCACTGCCAAGTGAAGACGCTCTGGATTTCGTAAGCAAATTGGCCTGTCATACTTTCACCACTACAGCATCATAGTCTCAGTCCAAATCTTCTGAGCACCAATTGCCAGGCTGCGAACTTCAATTGCCTTATCATATTTTGATCTTTTTTCTTGGGTGTATCGGTGTATCATATATTGTTGCGGTGTATTTATCACTGGCTTTCACAGCACTGGCAGGACACAAGCACTTCAGCTGCCTGCGATGCAACGAAAGTGCATGGCCTGATGGGAAAGAAACCGTCTGTTGAAATTCTTTACTGCCCAGCTTGGAAGGAGGGGAACAAGAGTCTCTCACACGTCAGGAGAGCAGAGATAGCTCAGACTCAACGCCTCGAGTTAGAAAGTTTCACAACTCCTCTGGCTTCCAAACCAAGCGCACAGGAGTTGACGCCTTTGCAAACATACAGTTGGTTGTTAATTATGTTTGCACGAAAGCTCTTGCACCTCACCATCATAGCAAGCGCTGCCAGCAAAAGTAACCTTTTGAGCTGATGGCGTTCAGCACATGTGCAAGGTTGGAACTTAGTAGGCTTGGTGTGTTGGAAGCTGCAACACGCTGCAACCATGAACGATGCACCTTTGAAATCAATTTGGCACCTTCGCATGTTTCTGACACCCAATAGTATCTCATTTGTCAGGCCTGCTTCGACGTGGAGCTCGCATTCCTTCTACCATGGTGCACTGGGGTAGGCTTGACAAGGGTTCGAAGTCCAAGTGCTTTGTGCTCCTTTGACAGTGTTGATACAGGTTATGATTTTTTTGGCCGTTCAAGGCAACCAAGCACTGTAGTGATGATACTAATAGCGGCATAGCGACGATTACTAGTGGAGGGAAGATCAGGATGGACTACCAGTGATCTGAGACATAAGTTGAACTTGGAAAGCAAAGCTGTCTGTGAACAAGACATCATAGACATCTGGTAATAAGAGCTAGTCAATCTGAAGAGCCAAAGCGTCAATTTGTGCACATCAGCACTCTTGAAGGCAAAAGCCATGTCTGTTCTGTGGTGTTTCACAGGTTAAAGTAGCGACACAGCTGCACAACAAAACAAATTGAACCCCAGAAGTGCGAACTGTTGCCATCTGCTGCCTGTTCGGATAATGAAGTGAACTTGCCCAGCAACTCAGCAAACCCAGCAGCGTTCTCTGGCTCCACCTCCCCTTTTACTTTGTGCCAAGATCTCTTGAGCTAGTCGAAGCTAGTAACGATAGCTTCAATATCTGATTCTATTGCCAGCTGCCCCTGTGCAGGGGAACTGCAAAAGTCTAGCTTCTTGCAGCGATGCAACATCTATGCGTGTACATCCATATGTGTACTATGATTACACCGCCATGTCCATGTCAATGTCTCGGCTGTCTAGGATGGCAAATCACGCTGGCCCAGTGAGAGGAATGATCCAAGAATCTAAACAAACAAAAACGCTGAATTGTTGCTTCGGCTGGAAACTCATTGCTCTCATGCACGAATCAGGTTGAACGTGTCGCTGGAAATTGTTTGGGATGTGAGCGACAGGTAAAAGCAAGTCTTCCTGTCGTTCTGCAGAATTAGGCGCGTTTACAAGTGCCTACAACTGGCACAGCAGCCTTCTACTTCTGGCAGTAAACTACTTTGCCTGTTGAAAACCGCAAAGGCGCTGGATATGTTTGCACCAAGGGGTTGACAAATTCATGAAACATTGACAAATTGGATGTGAGACTTTAGGATGAACGTCATTGCAACGTGGCTGTGGCGGTGCAACAAGTTTCAGGTCAGGCCAAGTAGGTCAGTTGAGTCTGCCTGGCTCAACATGGCTCAACACACTGCAAAGAGTCTGCAAAGTCAACAAGGAAAAGATGCCTCTGGGATTGCAGCGAAGAAATCAAGACTCAGTATCTCAGAGTGCTCAATTTGATCAATGCATATCTCAATGCATATTAAATCTCATACTGGCCTTTTTTGGCGCTGATTTGCTCGGAGAGGCCAATTTGCCTGCATCAAATCCCCAAGATGCTTGATGTGTTAACGCTACTCCGCTAGTCACTTTAATCACTTCGATCGGGTAGTTGTTTCAAAGGAAAGTTTGACATAAAATGAACATAAAATGAAAATAAAGTGTTTCAGATTACATGGCCGCAATGAAAGGACCATCGAGCTACAATCTTTCAGGAAAATCTCAGCCCCAAGCTTTCCGAAAGTTCATCCGACCTGGGCACGGTCTTTTCGGCCGACGGGACAATCCAAAAGGTCTTCACAGCGGCTGTCTAAACACTCCAACACACATTCCAAACATCTCTCAAACATCCCTAAGACGCTAAAACACTTCAAGATACTTTCAGTATGTTTATATAAATAACTTTAAATGCTACACAAAAATGTGACACAGCCCCGAGAAGCTGGCATCCCACTAGCATTGGTAGAGGCGTCAGCAATGTCTGCGGGCTTCTGGCGAAAACCTGCCAGGGTCATGTGGTGGCTGTCCCTCGAAAAGCGGCATTTCGATTGACTGGATTCATTTTTCAGTGGATTCCCAGGAAGGAATTTGCCTTTTCTTGCCCCTCATGGAATTGTATTTGCACTGGTCAAGCTATTAATCGGAAACTAAAACCCGTTAATCGGAAACAAAAACCCGTGAATCGGAAACCAAAACCCGTTAATCGGAAACTAAAACCTGTTAATCGGAAACCAAAAGAATCGGAAACTAAAACCCATGAATCGAAAACTAAGAACCTGGAATCGCAAACCAAAACCCTGGAATCGGCAACCACAGCTGAATCATAAACTAAAGCAGGTGAATCGGAAACTAAAACCAGAGAATCGGAAACTAAACCAGCCGAATCAATCAGAATGGGCAACTTGTCTCCTTCAATCGGAAAGAGAAGTTGGAGGTAATATCCTGTTCAAAATAATGACCAGAGAGGGTGGAGGAATTGATTTCTTATGAAGATAAGTTGAACGTCATATCTCATTCAACATAATGGTCGGAGCGGGTGCCGGATTTGATCCCTTATGAGGATACTTTGAAGGTAATATCTCATTCAATGTAATGGTCAGAGGGGGTGCCGGATTTCATCTCATATGTGGACAAGTTGAAGGTAATATCTCATTCAACATAATGGCCAGAGGGGGTGGCGGATTTGATTTCTTATGAAGACAAGTTGAAGGCAATATCCCATTCAACAAAGTGTTCAGAGGGGGTGGGGGGGGTTGATACCTTACAAAAAGAAGTTGAAGGTAATATCTCATTCAACATTGCCAGATTTGATCCCGTATGACAACACTTTGAAGGTAATATCTCATTCAACATAATGGTCAGAGGGGGTGCCGGATTTGATCCCATATGTGGATAAGTTGAAGGTAATATCTCATTCAAGATAATGGCCAGAGGGGGTGCCGGATTTGATGTCTTTATGAAGATCCGCCGACCCCGGCCGACGCAAGGGGGAGCGCGTAAGGGAAGAAGAGTATCTGGCACAAAGAGCAACAGCAGTATTCCCATCCGGGAGGTCCCTTATGGTGTTTTGCTGCCGGGAGCTACCTTTTACGAGCAGCTGCAGGCGACAGAATCTCTCGCAAAAGGCTGTTTTTCTAGGATGTCAGAAGTGACGTTAGGGACTTTGTTCGCGTGGTTTTGGAACGACGCGTTAGGGAGTTTTTTGGCGTGGTTCTAGACCTTGCTCGTCCATTGCTGCCGGGAGCTGCTTTTTTCGAAGCTGTTTGACCGGCATCAGCAGCAGCCGCCGCCACCAGTCCTGCGAGCAGCCGCAGGCGACAGAATCTCTCGACAATCTCTCTCTCGACAATCGACAAATGCTTTTTTTCTAGGATTTCAGACGACACGTTAGGGAGTTTTTTCGCGTGGTTTTGGACCTTGCTCGTCCTTCAGAGCCATGATGTTTTGCTGCCGGGAGCTGCTTTTTTCGAAGCTGTTTTACCGGCATCAGCAGCAGCAGCCGCCGCCACCAGTTCTGCGAGCAGCCGCAGGCAACAGAATCTGTCGACAAATGCTGTTTTTCTAGATTTCCAGACGACACGTTAGGGAGTTTTTTTTCGCGTGGTTTTGGATCTTGCTCGTCCTTCCGAGCCATGGTGTTTTGCTGCCGGGAGCTGCTTTTTTCGAAGCTGTTTTACCGGCATCAGCAGCAGCAGCCGCCGCCACCAGTTCTGCGAGCAGCCGCAGGCAACGCAGGCAACAGAATCTTTCGACCTTGCTCGTCCTTCAGAGCCATTGTGTTTTGCTGCCGGGGGCTGCTTTTTTCGAAGCTGTTTTACCGGCATCAGCAGCAGCAGCCGCAGGCAACAGAATCTCTCGACAAATGCTGTTTTTCTAGATTTTTCTAGATTTCCAGACGACACGTTAGGGAGTTTTTTCGCGTGGTTTTGGACCTTGCTCGTCCTTCCGAGCCGGGAGCTGCTTTTTTCGAAGCTGTTTTACCGGCATCAGCAGCAGCAGCCGCCGCCACCAGTTCTGCGAGCAGCCGCAGGTAACAGAATCTTTCGACCTTGCTCGTCCTTCAGAGCCATGGTGTTTTGCTGCCGGGGGCTGCTTTTTTCGAAGCTGTTTGACCGGCATCAGCAGCAGCAACCGTCGCCACCAGTCCTGCGAGCAGCTGCAAGCGACAGAATCTTCTTCAAAGCCATGGTGTTTTACTGCCGGGAGATGCTTTGTTCGAAGCTGTTTTCCCGCGAGCAGCTGCAGGCAACCGAATCTCTCGACAAATGCTTTTTTTCTAGGATTTCAGACGACATGTTAGGGAGTTTTTTCGCGTGCTTCTGGACCTTGCTCGTCCTTCAGAGCCATGGTGTTTAGCTGCCGGGAGCTACTTTTTTCGAAGCTGTTTTACCGGCATCAGCAGCAGCAGCCGCCGCCACCAGTTCTGCGAGCAGCCGCAGGCAACAGAATCTCTCGACAATCTCTCGACAATGTGCTGTTTTTCTAGGATTTCAGACGACACGTTAGGGAGTTTTTTGGCGTGGTTCTGGACCTTGCTCGTCCTTCAGAGCCATGGTGTTTTGCTGCCGGGAGCTGCTTTTTTCGAAGCTGGTTTACTGGCATCAGCAGCAGCAGCCGCCGCCACCAGTCGTGCGAGCAGCCGTAGGCGACAGAATCTCTCGACAATCGACAAATGCTGTTTTTCTATGCTGTTTCTATGCTGTTTTTTTGCTGTTTTTCTAGCACATTTTTTCTAGCATTTCAGACGACACGTTTGGGGTGTTTTTTGGCGTGGTTCTGAAACTTGCTCGTCCTTCGGAGCCATGGTGTTTTGCTGCCGGGAGCTGCTTTTTTCGAAGCTATTGTACCGGCATCAGCAGCAGCAGCCGCCACCTGCGAGCAGCTGCATCCGCCGACCCCGGCCGACGCAAGGGGGAGCGCGTAAGGGAAGAAGAGTATCTGGCACAAAGAGCAACAGCAGTTTTCCCATCCGGGAGGTCCCTTATGGTGTTTTGCTGCCGGGAGCTACCTTTTACGAGCAGCTGCAGGCGACAGAATCTCTCGCAAAAGGCTGTTTTTCTAGGATGTCAGAAGTGACGTTAGGGACTTTGTTCGCGTGGTTTTGGAACGACACGTTAGGGAGTTTTTTGGCGTGGTTCTAGACCTTGCTCGTCCATCAGAGCCATGGTGTTTTGCTGCCGGGAGCTGCTTTTTTCAAAGCTGTTTGACCGGCATCAGCAGCAGCAGCCGCCGCCACCAGTCCTGCGAGCAGCCGCGGGCGACAGAATCTCTCGACAATCTCTCTCTCGACAATCTCTCTCGACAAACGACAGTTCAATCATGCAATCCCGCCCTCACCTGCCCTGTTTTGATGGCTGAATGCCCGCCTTCTCGTGCGTGGCCACTGATCCAGGGTGCCTGGGTGCTTCCATGTGCCAGCCCAGTACCTGGCACCAGTGAGATGTGTGAGGCACTGGCTGCACAATGCCAAGCCAGGCTCACCACCACCACCACTTAATTAAGGGTGGCACTTGTGCCAATGCGGTGGGGGGGAATTAAGTGGGACCAAATTTGGGGTTACTTTGAGCCAAAATGGTACCCCACATTTAAACAATCATCATCCCCCCCGGTCCACCCAAGGATGAAATCTCTGTCTTTTGTTAATTCGGCCATTCTGCCCTTCTCAACAAACGACAGTTCAATCATGCAATCCCGCCCTCACCTGCCCTGTTTTGATGGCTGAATGCCCGCCTTCTCGTGCGTGGCCACTGATCCAGGGTGCCTGGGTGCTTCCATGTGCCAGCCCAGTACCTGGCACCAGTGAGATGTGTGATGCACTGGCTGCACAATGCCAAGCCAGGCTCACCACCACCAATTCACACATCGAACAAGGCAGCTGACAGGATAATTGCAGGTGCTTCTGGCAAGCCGGTGTTTCACACTTGGCATACGTTTCACTACAAATGTTCGTCAACAAGAAATCTTTCGAATTTCTAAACTCAAAGCCACACGCAGCAGAAAACGCGTTCTTGACAAAATGAACTTTGTTGGAACCTCTGTTCCATACAAATCTAGGGAGGAAACTCCGTGTCAACTCTGCCGCCCATTGCTCTTTCACTTGAAACTCCTTTTGTCGGAAATCTTCTAGAATCGCCTTTGCCTCTTCCTTGGTCTCATGCAGCTCATTCAATGCAATCGACATGCGTGCTTCTAAAGTTTCAATCACCAGGGCCTCTATTTCTTGGTGGGCCACTTCAAGCGACCTTTTGTTCAACTTTTCATAAACATAGAAAATGATCTCCTCCAATGAAAGGGATTCGTTAGCAGTGTCTTCGCTGAGCCAGGTTTCAGAACTTTCTAAAGGAATGTCTCGCAAGTATTTCAATACCGTAGAACTTTCCCATCTGCAAAACAATTGGATTCGAAAAAGCTCAATGCCATGACGTGCCATGTGTTGTGCACCCGTCGGCCTCAACGCATGGCCGGTGAGGGCGCTTGCCTCTTCTTCTGTCCATCCAAGATGCAAAGCCACCTTGCGAAAGGTGGCTACCATGGCCGCTTTTGTTGGAGCCTTGGATGTGTCAGTGATCAAGAACGGATCTTCTGGCTTGTCTGCTCCTTGCGCAGCCCCAGCGTCTAAAATCCTTCTGGCTGCTGCAGTCGGGCAAAGTTTGCGTGAAGTAGAGCAGAGACAACCTTGACGCCTTGTGACCCCGGCCCCTCTAGGATCAGTTTTGCTGGCCGGCAGTTGTAAAGCTACCGTCCCACAGCCGGGCCCCTCTTCCAGGACCACCTGTGATCGCAAACGAAGAGCTGCTTCTATTTCTCGGCATGCAAACAAGGAGAAAAGGATGACCGTGTCCACCGGTCGCAAGGGGCCACCTGGAACTGGCTCAATCTCCGGGACGTCCTCAAACTTTCTCAAGTCAAAACTGGGGCACACCTTATCTGGGCCCTTTCCTCTTTCACAGGATCTGACCGCGTCCCGTGTGGCCAGCTGAAGCTGGTCGTTCCAGGGGTGGC